TTTGTGGTTATCCTATCAAATATTAGTTGGCCAGATATGTGGCAGTTTATTTCTGGGCTCTCCAGTCTGTCTTGCCTGTTTTTATACCAGTACCATACTGTTTTGCTTACAAAATAGCTTTGTAATACAGTTCAAAATCAGAAATTGTGACACCTCCAACTTTATTCTTCTTTCTCAAGATTGCCTTGGCTGTTCAGGGTCCTTTGGAGTTCATACATTACTTTAGGATTTTTTTTTCTTCTGTTGTTCTGAAAAAATGTCATTGGAATGTACAGGGATTTAAATGACTCCATAGATCACTTTGGTTATTTGGACATTTTAGCCATAGTGATTTTTCAATCCATGAACATTGGCTATCTTTCCATTTATTTGTGTCTTTGTCAATTTCTTTCTTTCAATGTCTTATAGTTTTCAGTGTAAAGGTCTTTCACCTCCTTGATTAAATTTATTCATAAGTATTTTATTTCTGATACCACAGATTGGTGGTTGCCAGAGGTGCATTTTGGGAGGTGGGTCAAATGGGTGAAGGTGGTCAGAAAGTACAAACTTCCCAGTTATAAGATAAATAAGTCCTTGATTTGTGATGTATACTATGGTTAACAATACAATGAGTATATTTGAAAGTTGCAGAGAATAAATCTTAAAAGTTCTCATCACAGAAAAAAACTATAAATGTGTGGTGATGGATGTAAACTAAACTTATTATGTAATCATTCTATAATATATACATATATAAAAGCATTATGTATACTTAAAACTAATACAATGTAGTACACCAGCATGTAGGAAATATTAGAAGTTACAAGCCAAAAGTATGATAATGATGGCTTTTATATTTACCTACATAGATGCCTTTCCCAGAGTTCATTGTTAGTACAGGCTTGAGTTACTGTCTAGTGTCTTTTCCTTTTATCCTGAGAGACTCTCTTATCATTTCCTGTAACAAAGAAATAATAGCGACAAACTCCTCTAACTTTTGTTGATCCAGGAATGTCTTAATTCTTCATTAACCAGTCCCTGGTTGCTTTAAGTTTTGCATTAAATTGTGAAGTTTGAATTAGTTGATCTTTCAGCCTTTTGACAGTTTATTATATTTGTTTCAGGAAGGGACTAATTCCTTGAGCAATCTACCATTTTCTATGGTATCACTTTTGCATTCTCTTCTAATATGTGCTTTATTTTATGCTAATCTTATTTTTATTTTAAGTTACTGTTTTTGTTTCCTGGGGCTTAGGGGAATAAAAAGAGGTCAATGATATACAAAGTAGTGTCATGTACTTTTTGTTATGTTTGCCATTTCCTACCTCAAAAAACTATTATTACCGTGTTTCAAGTTCTCTCACTACCTCTATTGTACTGGTTAAATTATCAATGAATTGTTTTGTGTATTTAAGATAAAGCCAAATGTTAACACTGGATCTCATTTTATTATTATTTGTAGCTATCAATAATGCTGAGTTTAAAAATTATGGTGATACTTATTTTTTCTATTCACCTTCTCTGGTCTGTTTTTACTTCAGAGTTCACCTTGTTGCTGTTGCACAAAGGAAAATTTAAATAGACCTTGTAGTTTAGGTAAGTTATTATTTGTGTACATACTTGTAATTTTCAAATATTTAGTGAAATTGAGAACATAAACTCATGTAAAACAATTATTATCAAGAACTTTCTTCAAAATATTAATTACACTATGATGTTTGTGATTACTGACATGACAAAACTATGGAATTACAGTATTAGTGGGAAATCAAGCAAAACAAAATACAAATGGCCGAAAGATCCTAGATAATATTTATTTTACATGCACTATAATATTGCTAAGCCATTTATTACATTTATCTGTGTTTACAAACATTCTGGCTATATGTAGATATACCTAATGAAGAAGTTTTTCTAATTCAACGAATTGTTCTGTGATATCATTATGAAGACATACTTGACATATCAGTAAACGCAAAGGTAATAATCAAAATATTTAACAACCAGTACTGCATAAGCATGGAACAACTAGATTAGAGAATGCTCTTGGATCAAAGTTCTGGAAGTCCCCTGCTGTGCCGTGTTGTGGTTGAAGGAAATGGGAAATTCCTATACTTTGGCCACCTGATGTGAAGAACTGACTCATTGAAAAAGACCCTGATGCTGGGAGAGATTGAAGGCAAGAGGAGAGAGGGTGGCAGAGAATGAGATGGTTAGACAACATCACTGACTCAATGGACATGAATTTGAGCAAACTCCGGGAAATAGTGGAAAACAGAGGAGCCTAGTGTGCTGCAGTTCATGAGGTCACAAAGAGTCAGACACAACTTGGCAACTGAGAAACAATAACAACAGAAATGTTTTAATATTTAACAATTGGGACAGTTCTATGACTGTAATAACTGAATATCCATCCAGAGGAGACTGTAGAAATCTAATTAAAATGAAGAGGAATAAGAATATAACTGAAACACTTGACAGAGGATGAGCAAGCAAAAACATTTTTTTGTAACATGAAAGCATCCTTGAGTTGTAGAGAGTGTTCTTCAGTTAGGAACTTATAGAGAAATAGAAGCTGAAAAAATGTATTTAAAAAAAGACAGGGAAAATACCAGATGAAATTGTGATTAAGAAATATAATTTTAGAAGAAAGTTTCTGAAGTGGAAATTTGACTTACCTGAGTAGTTGATGTGGTGAAATGAAAATTATTAAAAATTAATGTTTTAGCCATATATGTTTTTGTATTTATCCTTATGAATTCATATGTATATGTATGTGTATATACATTCTATACAATAATAACAATTCTAAGAACATATATTGTGGTACAGGAAACTATTTTAGAACATAGTATGTCAGTGTCTGGAATACTTTAAATGTCAGGAAAAGTTTAAAGTACACCTAAATTATTATTTATCCTAGAAGAAAAAGTGACCATTTGGAATAACATTCAGGAGTAATAAAACATCCCGGAAGATTAGGATATTTGGAAACCCATAATGTGATTTCTCCAGAACTTTCATTCTAATATCCTTTGGGATATTCTAATCATAAAATAACTTTTGGAGTAAATCTGATAGAACAGCAAAGCAAGCTCCTTATTTTATTGTTAATACTTCCAAGTATTTCTTCAAAGGGAGAAACAGTGTATCAAGTAATAGAATATATTGATCAGGGGGTACACTGATCTTACCCCTGCCTTGCCACTGATTAGCTATTGGAACTTCAGTTCAGTTCAGGCACTCAGTCACGTCCGACTCTTTGCGACCCCATGGACTGCAGCACGCCAGGCTTCCCCGTCCATCATCAACTCCCAGAGCTTGCTCAAGCTCATGTCCATCAAGTCGATGATGCCATCCTACCATCTTATCCTCTGTCGTCCCTTTCTTCTCCTGCCTTCAATCCTTCCCAGCATCAGGGCCTTTTCCAATGAGTCAGTTCTTCATATCAGGTGGCCAAAGAATTGGAGCTTCAGCTTCAGCATCAGTCCTTCCAATGAATATTCAGGACTGATTTCATTTAGGATGGACTGGTTTGATCTTCTTGCTGTCCAAGGGACTCTCGAGAGTCTTCTCCAACACCACAGTTCAAAGGCATCAGTTCTTTGGCACTCAGCTTTCTTTATAGTCCAACTGTCACATCCATACATGACTACTGGAAGAAAACAATAGCTTTGACTAGATGGACTTTTGTTGGCAAAGTAATGTCTCTGCTTTTTAATATGCTATCTAACTTGGTCATAGCATTTCTTCCAAGGAGCAAGCATCTTTTAATTTCATGGCTGCAGTCACCATCTGCTCTGAAACTTAGGCAACCATTTATCTTATAAAATCCTTGATTTTTTTCCTTTTTAAAAGTGAAAGAGTGGAACTAGATACCACCCCCTTGCAGTTGCCTTATATTGCCTTATAATCTTCATAACTTTGTAGACATTTCACATATATTAATTTATTTAGTCTTCATACAACCTTGTTAGGTTGACATTATCCTAGTTTTATAGATGAAGCAACTGAGGCATTGAATGGCTGAGTCATTTGACAATTCTGGAACAGAAGTCTGTGAAACAAGCCAGTGGTCCAATCTCCTCTGAAGAGTTAAGAGCCTTTATAAGCAGTGCCAAGTCAATTGGAAAGAACAAACAGAATTGGAAAGAGCATCTATGATATATCTTTTAAAAAGTAAATGCTTAGGGAGCAAAACAGGGCTTATTTTCTTATTGTTCAATCCAGTTTGCTCTTGAGTAGGTTAACTTTTCTGGATTTTTCTCATTTTTAAAATGAGAAAGATGGTTTTAAGACTATTCAGTCTCCAATTTTTCTAACAGTCTATATTCCTGAGTTTGTATGTGAATAGATTCTTTTAAAAAGGATTCAATTCCTGAATACATATTTTATGTGATTTTATTATACTTTGCTTTACACTTTTCAGTTTATTTATGTAGATTAGTCTTATATAATTAACCTAATTCTCCGATGGATACATTATATAAAATAAAGTGCAATATATATTAAAGAGTTTGTTTAGTAAGGTTCCCATAGCACTCTTGTTAATAAATTCCTTGCATGATCATTACCTTTAAGCAAACTGGAGACATATGCTAGCCCAGTTCCTTTGCAGCTGCTTTCAGTGATACCCTCTGGCTACTGATACGTACGTACATGTATTTCAGCATACCACTGCAATTCATTGAAGAGAGTGATTGTTTTACCCCATGCTTTTATAAGCTCTTAAGTTTATTATGTAAGAATCTTCTCTAGTGTCATGAATTGAGGAAATACAGACCTATTCATGAAAGGTATCTAGAATGTAGGGTGTGTGTCCACACAGCTTTACAGAATTGGGTATGTATAGCAAATGTATGATGGAAGATCACCCAAATGACTGCCAGAGGATAGGCTAAAATGAGGCTCCAAGAAGGATTAGTAAAAGTGATCCTTTAAATATTGTCAAGCACATATGGGGAGAAGGCGATGGCACCCCACTCCAGTACGCTTGCCTGGAAAATCCCATGGACTGAGGAGCCTGGTAGGCTGCAGTCGCTAAGAGTCAGACACAACTGAGCAACTTCACTTTCACTTCACTTTCATGCTTTGGAAAATGAAATGGCAGCTCATTCCAGTGTTCTTGCCTGGAGAATCCCAGGGACGGGGGAGCCTGGTGGGCTGCCGTCTATGGGTCACACAGAGTCGGACACAACTGAAGTGACTAAGCAGCAGCAGCAGCAAGCACGTATGTGATAAGATGCATAATCTTTAACAGCCACAGAAATATTCAGAATTACCTAGAGTACGGTGATTATTTTTTTTTTTAGTTTTTATTTCATTTTTTGAACTGGCATTAAGAGCCAGAAAAGTAGAAGTTGTCTATGGCCGTACCACCCTGAACGCGCCCGATCTCGTCAGAAAAGTAGAAGTATTCAATATATTGACTACAATGTGACTAAAAGGCAATCTCTTATGTACATAAAGTACAGTGCAAGTACAGTGCATGTTGACATTTAACTTTAATAACTTAATGTATGCATTTTAACAGTACTATTCAAATCAGTAGAGTCACTAAATGACAAACCTAAGGGTGCAGTGTGTCAGGGGTTAGAATAGGAGTAATGGTCAGTTTTCCTTCCAATCCCGAAGAAGGGCAGTGCCAGAGAATGTTCGAACTGCTCTACAATTGTGTTCATTTTACATGTTAGTAAGGTTATGCTCAAAATCTTCAAGCTAGGCTTCAGAAGTACATGAAGTGAGAAACTCCAGGTGTATAAACGGAGTTTAGAAAAGGCAGAGGAACCAGAGATCAAGTTGCCAACATCTGTTGGATCATAGAGAAAGCAAGGGAATTCCAGATAAACTACTTCTGCTTCATTGACTACACTAAAGCCTTTGACTCTGTGGATCACAACAAACTGGGAAATTCTTAAAGAGATGGGAATACCAGACCAGCTTACGTGTCTTCTGAGAAACCTGTATGTGGGGTCAAGAAGCAACAATTAGAACCGGACATAGAACAACTGACTGGTTCAAAACTGGTAAAGGAGTACAACAAGGCTGTATATTGTCACCCTGTTTATTTAACTTATAAGCAGAGTACATTGTGTGAAATGCCAGACTGGATGAATCTCAACCTGGAATCAAGATTGCTGGGAGAAATATCAGCAACCTCAGATATGCAGATGATATACCACTCTAATGGCAGAAAGTGAAGAAGAACTAAAGAGCCTCTTGAGGGTGAAAGAGGAGAGTGCAAAAGCTGGCGTGAAACTCAACATTCATAAAATGAAGATCATGACATCCAGTCCCATCACTTTCTGGCAAATAGAAAGGGAGAAAGTGGAAACAGTGACAGATTTTATTTTCTTGGGCTCCAAAATCATTGCAGATGGTAACTGCAGGCATGAAATGAAAAGATGCTTGCTCCTTGAAAGGAAAGCTGTTACAATCCTAGACAGTATATTAAAAAGCAGAGACATCATGTTCCTGACAGAGGTACATTAGTCAAAACTGTGGTTTTTCTTGTAGTCCTGTACGGATGTGAGAGTTGGACCATAAAGAAGGCTGAGCACTGAAGAACTGATGCTTTTGAATTGTGCTGAAGAAGACCCTCAACAGTCCCTTGGATTGCAGGGAGATCAAACCAGTCAATCCTAAAGGAAAAAACCCTTATTGGAAGGACTGATGCTGAGGCTCCAATACTTGGGCCACCTGATGCAAAGAACTGACTCATTGGAAAAGACCCTGATGCTGGGAAAGACTGAAGGCAAAAGGAGAAGTGGGCAGCAGAGGCTAAGATGGTTAGATAGCATCACCTACTCAATGGATGTGAATCTGAGCAAACTCTGGGAGACTGTAAAAGACAGGGAAGCCTGGCGCGGGGCAGTCTGTGTGGTTTCAAAGAGTCGGACACCACTTAGTGACTGAACAACAACAAAGATGGTAAAATTAACAGCAAAACTTACATTCATTTGTGCTTGTTATGTCCCAGACACAGTGTTAGATGCTTTAGCCTGTACATGACACAACCCTGTGAGAGAGGATCATCACCCTTTGGCAGATGAGGAAACTGAGAAAGAGAGAAGCAGGATAACATGTCCAAATTTAGGTGGTTAGTCAGTTGCAGAGACTGAGTCTAGGCAATCTGGCTTAGAGCCTGTTCCCTTAACTGTTGTGCTACACAGTCACTAGAGACGTGTCTGAATAACATGTTTATCAAATGCCACAAGGGCTGACTTAACTATATTATTTTTTTCATTCTTTTTCAGGTGAGTTAGTGCAAGATAAAGCCTGTGGACAGAAAAATACAAATAGAAAAGGAAAATCAGTAAGCATATTGATATATCCTTTAAAACTCATTGTTAAGATTTTATAGTATTTTGAATTAATTAATATTTATTGTATATCCTGTCATCAAAAGGCATATACTTATATAGTATAATACATGTAGTAGAAAACTTAGGAATTTTTGCCTAGGTAAAAAGTTTGTGACATTTGGATTCCACTTGTTTGACTTAGTCTGAATAGAATGCTAGATTTCTAATTTATATTCACTCAAAATTTTTATATACTTCCATGTATTTTGGCATCTGATATTACTACTAAAAGACTAGAAAGTTTTATTACCTTAGTGATTTTCTTTTAAAAAAAATTTGAATGAGGCTTGAAATTTCAATCCAGTTCTGAGAATATAAAGAAATACTATGTTGTGTTAAAAAAAAACAATAACAGGAAATTAACATGTGATACAGTACTATTAATGGGCTTCACTGATGGCTTAGTGTAAAGAATCTTCCTGCATTGCAGGAAACACAGGAGACCAGGTTCTATCCCTGGGTTGGAAAGATCCCCTGGAGGAGGGCGTGGTAACCCACTCCAATTTTTTTGCCTGGAGATTCTCATGGACAGAAGAGCCTGGCAGGCTACAGCTCATAGGGTTGCAAAGAGTCAGACACGTCTGAAGCAACTGAACACACACACATACAGTATTATTAAATAAAGTACAGATTACATTCAAATCTCACAAAATGTTATGCTACTGTCCATTATTTGTTTTCATACTTTATTCAAGACTCCACATTGTATTTAGTTGCTCCATGCAACAAATTCTGGTAAATTCTCTTTTCATCTTTATTCTGTTAAAATATTTCCTTATTTTCCTTGTATGGCTTCTTGGATACATCCATCATTTAAAAGTGGACATTTAATTTCCAAATAGATGGGGTTTGTAAAGTATCTTTGATATGAACTTCTAATTTTAATGTTAAATCCTCATTTGTATGCTTTCCTCTCTGCAGTCACCTTCTGTGGTCTTTTAGCCTTCTAACTTTATTGAGGCTTTCAATGGCTAAGTCAAAGGTCTCTCTTGGTAAATGTCACATTGCTCTTGAAAATATATGCCTTATTTTCAGATATCTTTTGATATTGATTTCTAACATAATTCCACCGTGTTAAGAGAACATGATTTCTAACGTAATTCCACTGTGATAAGAGAACAGACTCTGTATGATTTCAATACCTTTAAACCATGAAATTTTTGCACCTTATTTTAGGTCCTTGGATATGTTCCAGTGTCTCCTAATTTATAGTCTATGGGAACTTGAATAGAATTTGTATCCTATTTTGTGAAAATTATATAAATCTTAATTATGTTAAAAAATAAAATAAATACCTCTAAATATAGGATTATTAGGCAGAGGAAAGGAAAAGTATATAGTTCCATGGTAACCATAGAATTAACTAGATAAAAGACTCACTAAATTAATCAAGATACTAACACAATCATCTCAGGAAGAATTGAGTACAGACAATAGAAAAAGTGCTCATTTATATGAATAACTGCACTTAATTCATTATATTAAAGGTTCTTTCCACCTAAATAACCTAAAGGTTACTTACATCTCATGGAAAGACTTTAGCATTCTATTAGTAAAATATTTTCATTAAAGCTGTCTATTGGTGAAAATCATTCAAATAAAAAAAGAAAGCATATACTCAATCACTATGAATTTATTACCTTATTATAAGTAAAGTTTACTTATATTATTTGTCATGGTTTATTATAAACTTATAAATTATTGTAAAGCAATATAAATAAATATAACATTAATTTTAACAAGTTATACTATTTAATTCTGCCTCTCCCAAATTGTTTTAATAGGCAACTCACAGTAGCACCAGGAAAGCATAGACCATCTCTGCCCAACTACCTACAAAGTTTCTGTTCAGACTGGAGCAAATCCAGATTAGTTCCTATTATATATTTCTTCCAGTAGGAAAGGACAAGAGAAACGAGCTCTACTTTACAAAAATGTCTTAAAATCTATTAATGATATAATCTTGATTTAATTATTTCATAAATGTACTACCCAAAACCAGGATTTTTAAGGGATCTTCATAAAACTTAAACCTTTATAACCATGGTTCAACTCCTCTCCCTAACTAAATGTTTATAACTGACATCTTAATATTCATTGGCCCAATTCTTCTAGCCGTGGCATTTCTCATATTAACTGAAGAAAGTTTTAGGTCTCATGTAACTTCAAAAAGGACCAAATATTATTGGACCATATGGTGTATTATATCCCATTGCCAATGCAATCAAACTGTTCATTAAAGAATGACTATGACCAGCTATTTAATACATCATCTATCTCCATATTTATTATTGTATCGTCTTAACTCTAACCTTAGCCTTAGCCATATGAATCCCTCTACCTATACATTATCCTCTCATCAACAAAAATCTACAGGTATTCTGACTAGCTGTGTCAAGCCTAGCCATCTGTTCTATTCTGTGAGGTGGATGAGCTTATTATTCAAAATATGCTCTAATTGGATCCCTATGAGCAGTGGCACAAACAGTATGATGTGAAGTAACACTACAAATTATCCTTTTATCAGTCCTTTTAGTAAATAGATCTTTTACTCTCTCAACTTGCATCACAACACAAAAACATCTATGATTAATTTTTACATCATCATGACCTCTAGCCATAATATAATTTATTTCAGAATAAATTGTATTTATCCTACAGAAACTAATTGAATCCCTTTGATATAACAGAAGGAGAATTAGAACTTTTATTTGCCTTTAACATAGACTATGCAACAGGCTCATTCATTATATTTTTCCTATCAGAATATGCCAACATCCATCATAATAAAAATTTTCACAACAGTCCTATTTCTAGGAGCATTCCACGATCCCCATACACCAGAACTATATACAATGAATTATATTATCAAAACACTACTATTAACACCCACAATTCTTAACCCCTAACTCATACATCTACTTTGAAAAAATTTTCTATAACTAACACCAACCTCGTGTATATGATATATTTCACTACTGAACATAACATCAAACATCCCTCTACAAACATAAGAAATATGTCTGATAAGAGTCACTTTGACAGAGTAAATAATAGAAGTTTAAATTCTCTTATTTCTAGAATTATAGGAATTGAACCTACCCTTAAGAATTCAAAATTCTTCCTGCCACCACATTTCACTATATTCTATAGTAAGGTCAACTGCATAAGCCATTGGACCCATACCTTGAAAATGTTGGTTTTTAGCCTTCCTTTACCAATAAATCCCATTATCTTTATCATTATCTTAATAACCATTATTTCAGGGACTGTAGTTGTAATAACTAGTTCATACTGATTACTTATTTGAACTGGATTCGAAATACATTAGCTTTCATCTCTATTCTAATAAAAAAACTAACTCACGAGCCGTAGAAGCATCAGCTAAATATTTCTTAACACAGGCCATGAGATCAGTATTACTTATAAATAGCCTACCATATTCTGGTCGATGAACCACCATAAACATTTTTAATCCAACAGCATCAATAATCATAACAATAGTTCTAGTCATAAATTAGGACCATCCCCATTCCACTTCTGAGCACTTACAGTCACACAGGGCATTTCACTAACAGCAGGGTTGATTCTACTAGTAAAACCCAAACTTGTGCCATTATCCACATTGTACCTAGTCACACCATCCATTAACCTAAACTCACTACTGATCCTCCCCACACTGTCAGTCATGACTGAAAGATGAAGCAGCCTGAATGAAACCCAGCAACGAGATATCAGAGCTTATTCATCAGTCACTCACGTGGGATGGGTAACAGCCATCATATAATGTGACTCTACCAACCCTAAACCTACTGATTTACATTATAACAACACTCACTATACTCAAATTGCTCATTCGCAGCTCAGCCACCGCTGCATTATCATTGTCACACACCTGAAACAAAACACCCATCATTACAAGCCTTATCCTCACCATTCTGTTACCAGTAGCAGGCATCCTGCCACTATCAGAATTCGTACCCAAAAGAGTAACTATTCAAGAAATAACAAAAATAAGCACGTTATGTTACCTACACTATTAGCCACTATTAGCCTGCATTTCTGCATACAACTTACATATTCTACATCACTAACCATATTTCCATCAGTCAATAACATAAAAGTAAAATGACCATTTGAATATATAAAACAACTTTTCTACCAATAATAGCTGTAATATCTATATTACTTTTACCCCTTACACCAATCCTTTCAGTACTGGAATAGGAATTTAGGTTAATACAGACCAAGAGCCTTCAAAGCTATAACCACATATAATTTCCTTAGTTCCTGTACAATAAGAATTGCAAATCTCTATCCTATATCAACTGAATGCAAATCAAACACTTTAGTTAAGCTAAATCCTCATGAGATTAGTGGGATTACATACCCACAAAATTTTAGTAAACAGCTAAGTACTCTCGGGGCTTCGTTGGTGGCTCAGTTGCAAAGAATCTGCCTGCCAGTGTAGGGGACGTGGGTTTGATCCCTGGATTGGGAAGATCCCCTGGAGTAGAAAATGGCAACCTGTTCCAATATTCTTGCCTGAAAAGTTCTGTGAACAGAGGGATCTGGCAGGCTATAGTCCATGGGGTTATAAAAGAGTTGGACACAAGTTAGCAACTAAACAACAATAAAATACTCCAATCAACTGGCTTCTGTCTACTTCTGCCACTGGGAGGGGTTGGGGGGTGGGGAGGCAAGAAAAGCTCCAACAGAACTGAGGCTGTTTCTTTGAATCTGCAGTTCAGTATGTTTAATTCGCGGCAGGACTTCACAAAGAGAGGACTCAACCTCTGTCTTTAGATTTACCATCTAATGCTTACTCAGCCATTTTTGCCTGTGTTCATAAACCACTGATTATTCTCAACCAATCATAAGAAATTGGCCACCTGTTTTTATTATTTGGTGCCTGAGCTGTAACAGTGGGTACTGCCAAAACCTACTAATT